ACAAACAGCTTGCGCTGCCACCGCGGCACTGATTTTGACAGTGGGTGGGAGGAGGGTCAAGGTATTCTGCTGAAATGTGTGGCCTACTTTCCCCCTGCCTGTCTGACAGGCTGGCTTCAAATCCAACACTCAGGACCCCCTGTGAAGGACCTCAATAATTCAGGACAGGGAAGGATTTGTACAAAAAGAACACAAAGAATAGTGATTAATAACATTGGTAAACATTGGTGAATAAGTGAAGGATTGAGATACTTTGCCTCTCTGTATGTGTGTTTCTTCGCCTTTTATCATTTTGTCCATTTTTAGGATTTTTAAGTTGCCTTTGCATTTCAGCATTTTTTTAAACAAGTTTTTCTTTCTTTTTTATGTTTGCTATTCTTCACAGATTCTGGTCTGAGCAGTCCTCTAAGTGAAGCCGATTTTGACTATGAAAGTTAGTCCCTACGCATTTAGCTCCTGTGTTTGTCCTCTCGCATTATTTTTGATTTTCTAGCACTGCCCCCATTTACAAAGTTTATTTCCCACACGTTGCAATTTCAGCACTAATTTCCTTGTTTTTCTTTCGTAACCCAGCTGTTTTGACTTTGGTTGGATTTTCAGTTACGTTATTCACACAAAGCTGTTTGGCTGCGCATTAATCCACTATACGTAACCTCTGCGATCACTTCTGCTGATTTAAGCTGGGTTTTTTACAGGAGTTCTGTCTTCTCTCTCACTCCCCTTGCTCCCCTCCCTCCACCCCCACCACTGCTTCAATTCCAATCTGAACTGACTGGGTCTTTCTGCAGTCTACGAGATAACGAGCGGAATTAATTAAAGACCCTGGCAAACGATGGTTCGACATCTGATCGTCTCCCTCTCGCAGAAAAGGAGCAATGAGAAATAGTTTTTTTCCCTCCAACTCCGAGACACGCTGAGAGTGTCTTCCCTTTTATATATAAATAAACATATATAAACAGGCCAGTGGCTGGGGCTATCAAAAGGAATAATTTTTTCCCAGCCGTATTGACTGCGGATCGGAGATTGGAAATGTTTAATTAGATGCTAGTTGTGTTTCTCCGTGCCCATTGATCTCTGCTGTTGATTGCTGTGAAAAAAACAGAGGGACTACTTCGATATTGGAGGGGAAAACTGTGGGAGAAGGGGGGGGGGGGGGGACTTTACATGTGATTGGCCCGTGCCAAAGTCCAAGTTTAGAAATGGAATATCCTCTGAGTAAATACACATACACACTGAGTGCACACTGCGGCTGTGTATAAATGAGGATATGGATAAGAAAACAATTCCGATGCGATCAACTCGTTTGTCTTTGGCAGGCCCAATAATAATAATAATAATAATAATAATAATAATAATGATTTGGGGGGTGCTTAAATTTGTGCTATTTCACCTTTTTCCTATGGGCCCTGGTCAAAAAATGTGCAATAGTGAATAGGGTGCCAATAGGTGCCATTTCAGATGCAGCCCCACTGTGTGTGTTGATACAGATAATGTTTTGTTGAGTTAGGCAGTATTCAAGATGAAAATGGACTATAAATGCCTTTTCTAGGAGCTTCCAGTAGGCAAAAATCTAAATCTCCGTAAGCACCAACTCGGAGCATGACCCAGTCTGCTCATCTGCAATGCATTGTGGGGTGTATTAATTAAAACCAGTTTAGATTTATTGCTTGTTTTTAACAGACTGAGAGCCCAAATGAATTCCAGTAAACTTATACTAGACAGCTATTATTTACTCGTCCTTGCTTTTGTTAAAGTAATGAAGCAGACATCAGTCCAATTCATATACATTTCCTATAAGTTTAAATAAATACAGTTATTACTAGTTTAACATATGCCAGTGGGCCTACGTTACCTTGTATATCCCGGGTTACAGTTCCTTTTTCCAAACCAAACACTTAAACCGTAGCCTCCGCAGGCAGTAGCACTGTCCTGCACTTACAGTACATCTAAGGCAGTACGATTGGCTGTAGATAGGAACTGAGGTACTACGTGTGTGAGTGCACACTGTCTGCCACTGGAACACTAAGCACACACTGCTTTTGATCTCGCTGCTAACAAGCTGCTCTCGTTTTTTTTCAAATGAGAAAATAAGGGGAGGGAGCGTCCACATTTGCGTCCGTTCAATTTCGCTTATAGCTCCTCATACTTTTTCCCTTTGAGTTTGTGGGATAACAAACTGACAGCCTAAGTTAATATTCCATTTTTAAACCACGTTCGGTGTTAATAAATGCACCATCCGGCAATGATTAATAACACCGCGTTTCCAGCTGATGCCATAGGAAAGTAGCGTGCGATGTTAGCTCAGTCAGAAACTGATGTGTGAGCAAACAAATGTAGGAACTTGTCCAAATACATCTATATCAGCGGGGCTTGCTAATACTGCTCTTCCCATGCAAGGTTGTGTCTATTAATTCAACTTAAGATAATAAATAATTGAACAGAACAATTCTTAAAGGAGTATTAAGAAGGTTGTTTTATTTGGCCTCACAAAGGATCGTCAGATTGGTTCATTATTGAAAAAATTAAGACATGCTATTGAACTGTGTAATAATCAGTGCTTGAATTTGTCCGGTGCTGGCACCTCAAAATTTCAACTACATAATAATATAATAATAATATGCCATTTAGCAGACGCTTTTATCCAAAGCGACTTACAGTCATGTGTGCATACATTTTTATGTATGGGTGGTCCCGGGGATCGAACCCACTACCCTGGCGTTACAAGCGCCATGCTCTACCAATTGAGCTACAGAGACCACTACATCTCTAATGCTCTAAAATATGAACAAATTAAATTGAGCACCGGCACCTAAAATGAGTACAGGCACTTTTTTCATTCCACTTTAAGCACTGATAATAATACAATAATAACTTCAATCAGTGGGTCTTATTCAATCAGTGGGTCTTTAGAAGATCTACAGTGTGATTCACCTTTGAACCAGTCCTCTAACACAACACAGCATGTCCAGTCATCAACTAGAATGGTGGTGTTCAGTGCCTCAACCTCCATTAGTCCCTGTGTCTCCTATATCCCTGTTATATCCCTATAATCTCTGCTAATCCCCATGTAATTGTCGACGTAACATTATTCCCTTCATTTATAAAAATTACCATCACTAATTGGGAATGATGCCAGGTAGTGTCGAGTGTCCCCTCCCCGACGAAACAAAACATTTGTGATCCCGCCGACATTCGGGAGGACGCTAAACGCCACGCGAATGGGATAAATTTAGGATGCTTAATCTGATTACACCGATTTTGCACGCCCAAGTACGTCATCAAGATTTAGGCAACTTTTGACCTCCATTTGCAGAAAGCAACAAAGTGGGCTTAAGCACCTTTTAAAAATATGACTAGTGTTAAGTTCCGTGCCGGGGCTATGTCCAGGGACAGGCCAACAATATGACTCCACCGTATTCCATTACATACCCAGCATTATGCTCCTAAATGGATTAGCTCCAGTGTACACACACTGCCCCGCAGATAATGTTACAGCACATTGCCTGGTGCACTTGGCGAGCTATAGAGAAAAAGTAGCTAAAATGTCCCCACTACTGACTAGGCTGGTTTGAATATTACTATATTTCTAGGGCAGTTTGGAAGGCGGTAGTGGCGGTGGAGTGCTACAGAGACCATGCAAAAATTGCCTTTAACCGACTACACAGGTTCTGACATTTTGGATGGTGTGGAGACTGGGGAGGGGCGTCCATCTTAGGGGCCCAGGTTTTTGGCTGCTTTTTTGGATGGCCCGGCTGAAAGCCATAAAAGGGTGTCTGTGATTGATCCTAGCGTCATGCTTGCTTGGCCTTGGCTGACTGGAGTGGAGCAGCTCACTGCGTCACCGCGTCACTCACACTGTCACTATCACCTTCCCCTTCTTGACCCCTCCCCCTCCTCCATCTCATCCAACTCAAACCCCAGGCCAGGGCTCGTCAACTGTCCCCTAACCCCTGACCATTGACCCCTAACCCCTGAACTTCGTAGACAGTATTTAGTTAGTTTATAGATGCAGTGATGTAGATGTACTTCATTGTGGCAACATTTTGACTGCTTGTTTTAATCTAAATTAATTTTTCAATAAACAAGTCAAAATACTTTAACAGACAAGAGGCCTTGGTTTTCCAGGCTGATGGGAAAATAGTGTTGTTATTTTGTGTGAAATGCCACTCTACAATGAGGTGATGTTATTTACGATTTGAGTTAACTCCAGTATTAAATATTTGCGCCTCTGAATGTGAAAAGGTTTTTCACAGGCAGCTTTTATGCTATTGTTAATAGCACTTCCTTGTCACAGTGACATGGTTAAGAGAAAGCTCTAGCTTTTTCCTCTTACCCTAGCATAAAAACTATAATTCCTTTTGTTTTTGTGCACTGAGGAGTGAAGAACTATTTATGTCAACATTGCATCATCTTGGCTCCAAAGGTTTTTTCTCTTTTATTATTGTGCATTCAAAAACCGAGGTTTGTTGCCTTGTCTCTGTTGCCAAGCTATTAAAAGCTGCGTCTCTCTGTAGACTTGAGCGGTAATTGGTCGGGGGGTTCTTTCTCACCATAGCAATCACCCATTGGTTGTCCTTTATTTGCGGCCCTATACCTTGTGCGCCATTATGAAGGGGAATAGTAGTGAGTGTGCAGAATAAAAATGTTGAGCTCCGGCCTGGTCTCGACTGTATTCCCTAACATCACCCATCAACTCCATACGGACCGTGTGTTTGAATTCCAGAATGTTCCCTAGTATTCCCCCCCTCCCTTGTCATTTAAGGCTTTCTCACTTACCCCCCCTCCGTCCCCCCGTCCCCCTCCGTCTCCACTGCAGCTAGCAGAACTGCATTATCCACAACCCCCATTCTCCCCAAACCCTTGTCCTGTCATTCTCTTAACATTTGGAGGGTTTTAGCCTCTCACTTCGAATGCCATGGCAGCTGTACTGATGCATTGTCTTTCTATCCCTCCTTCCCCCCTCCCTCGGTTCTCTCTCTCTTCATCTGTGTGGCGAACAGGTATGATGAATCATCCACCCATCCCTATCGCGGAGCTGGCTGAACACACAGAGCTTCTCAAAGCCAACGACAACCTGAAGCTCTCCCAGGAGTATGAGGTGAGTGTGCTGGGGTCAGGGGGTAAGGGTTAAAGCTGGGTCTCTGGTGAGGTATAATGGTGTAGGGGGAAGTTGCCTCTAGACGCTGATCTTGGGTCAGTTTTGTATTTTCCCCACTAATGGTTAAGGTTAGGGTTCGGGGAAGGGAAGCTAATTCTTGATCTGTACCTAGGAGAAACTTCACCCCTGAGCGAGGTGGAATGAGATTACTGGGATTCCAAGGTTTTAGTGAATTAACTGTATGTCGAAGGTTTTAGTGAATTAACTGTATGTCCATCAGCCATTAGTTGGCTGGTGGCATTGTAGTGGCATGTTATCTAGTCAAAGTTGGCGATATAATCAAAGTTGGCGTTGTAATATAAATCAAAGTTCCATCACATCCTCTTCAACTGGGCCCAATATAATGAAACAACACATTCTATACTTTAACGTTGGGTTTCCAGGCAACCCTTCCCCCAATGCAATTTCATAATCACACCAAAAATCACTGAGCACTTAATCCGTCACAATGCGCCCAGTCCCACACCAGTCAACGGATGGTCTGTCAGCCACCCTTAAGATTCTAAGCTGCAGCATGGTGGATCCACACACACACACACATACACTGGCATCGGGCGAGCATGAAGCCGAGCTGTCGAAGCCCTGAGTGCAGCCAGGGAGGTTATAAATGAACCTGCCGCTGATTAGAAATCAGGATCGCTGAATCAGCCCTTGTTTGCATACAGAAATATCCTCCCTCAGAGCATCAGAGCTGCACCAGGGACAGTTGTGGGTACTGTAGTACTGGGTGCCAACAGGAGAACTACAGTTAAACCAGTGGTGGATGGTGGTGGATGTTGGGATAATGACTGCTTGCGGCCATACAGTACATCTTCTTCTAATCTATTATTTATAAATCTATGTTGGACCGTGTACCAAATCGACTTCCCTTCACACTGGCGAGGCAGAGAAGGACAAGGGTATCGAGTCGTCGGTGAGGGTTTGGGAAAAGTGACTTGTTGACACTTCGGAACACTTTGGTACAACGCAAAGTTCTTAATTACTTGGCTCCAAAAGGAATGTTACTTACGGTGCACTCCTCTCTCTCTCTCCGTCTCGCTCCCCCTCTACCCTCTCCATTCGCTCCCGCAGAAAAATAAATGACCAAATTAAATGGAGAAGTGTAATTTTCATTTTGTTATTTTCTTGATGAATGGCTGCTCATCTGGGCGCCTTGGCTTGCCAAGCCCGGACTCTTCGGGCTCTGAGTGATTGGTTTTTCTAGCGGGGCGGGATGGAGGGGGGAGGAGAGGAGGAGGGAGGGAAGGAAGCGTAGAGAGGAGAGGGGTAGGAAGGGGAGCTCGGTTAATGATCAGGGCTGCAGTACAGGAGCTGGAGGGAGAGGGGCGGCATATTTTCGGAGAATGAACATAGCAGGGGTAGCTGGTGGAGGTTCGGAAACAGGGAAGGGGAGGAGACTTGTTCAAAGGGTCCATCATCGCCTAAAGCTATGGAATGTACTGAGGAGGTGGAGTAACTAATTATTCAGGTGTCAGCACCAACATGCCCCATCCCAGAAAGGCCCGTCCCCTTTTGATGGGAGCTCTCACTCATACTCATCGCCTTGGCAACACCTTTTTGTCAGGATAGGGGAAGTGGAGGAGGGAGGGGAGTGTTAAAGTAGAAACCACACTCACCCTATTATACAAACACACACACACACACGTCTTCAAGAGAGCGCTACTACAAACAAAATAATCCCAGTCAGCCTCAGGGGAGACCAGACAGAGAAAAAGAGAAAGAGAAGGGCGGGAGCAGAGAGAGAGACAGAGACAGTGACAATGTGAGCAGGTTCTCCTCGTGCCGAGCTGGCTGCCTGTTATTTCACTGTGATGATTGTGGGTAAACTGTTACATCAGGCTCCTATTTGGACTTTATTTAGCCCCAATCTCTGTTCCCTGCGCCAGGCCCTAACCAAAAACATCCTTCAAGCTAGCGCCAGGGCCCGCGAGCGAGCGCCGAATCATAATGGAATACTAAATTACCCTGACAAGGGAATAGAATATTTATCCGGAAATCTCGTATTCCAAGCGCGGGCAGCATTTGTCTTGCCAGCAGTGTCGAGGCCCAGCAACCTGGTTGATTCCCCCTCTTTCTCCCTAATAGAAGTGCTGCCACCTTCTCAATATTTGTATTGCCATTATGCACTGTCAACATTAAAGATCTTGATAAAGCCACCTGCGCAGGCGTTTATATAATGTAATAATATGCCATTTAGCAGATGCTTTTATCCAAAGCGACTTACAGTCATGCGTGCATACATTTTTTTGTGTATGGGTGGTCCCGGGGATCGAACCAACTACCTTGGCGTTACAAGCGCCGTGCTCTACCTGCTGAGCTACAGAGCTACTTATATTTGAAGTGGGCACCGAGCAGCTGCCAATGAGGCTGTTGTTCCCTTGTTGAGTTTTCTCTCTTTCTCTCTCTCTCTCTGTATTGTTGTGTTCCTTTCTGTGCCTTCCCTCTCTATATCTTTCTTTCGTCCTCTTTCTGAGGGTGTCATATTGTGTGTGTATGTTTGTGTGTGTGTGTGTGCGTGCGTGTGTGTGCGTATGTGTTCTATCTTTTCCCACAGTCCATCGATCCGGGCCAGCAGTTCACATGGGAACACTCCAACCTGGAGGTGAACAAGCCCAAAAACCGCTATGCCAATGTCATCGCCTATGACCACTCCCGCGTCATCCTTGCACCCATCGAAGGTAAGACTAGACACTTTTTGGGACTTTTTACCCCACCAATTGCAACTTCAATGCTCTGTGTTGGTCTATTATGTCCTGCAGACCAAGGTTTGAGGTAGACTGACGGCCCAATACTCTTTTGTCTCATCTTATTTGATCTTATGAAATGACCATTTGTGCATAGTTGAGAAACAAAGTAGTCTTTAGGACATTGTCAGATGAGCTCACGCTTCAACAGTGAAAGTCATAGCCAGGTGAACTCTTCACCCTTCAATCCTGCTGGGCTCTCAACCTCTCTCGACCTTTTTCTGCGACTTATCCATTTCGACTTGATTTTGACAGTTTGCAATAGGCCCAATTTAAGAGTGCGACAGCACGCATAACAAAATCATCCCTGGCAAAGCGTCCATAAATACATAAATTAATCAAGTCTGAAATTTCCATTTTACAGTGCAGTGATTTTGCCATTAGTCACAGCAGTAGAACAATTCATGTATGCAGCCATTCGCTGTTCACTTAGCTATGACTAACGCCAATGCACCACAATCACATTGTGCGACGTGGAATTCTTTTTAATGACGTTTGCCTTTTCTCTTTCTCTCTCTCTCTCTGTCTCCCCCCCACGGTTGTTGCCGCGCTCTTTGTCGTATCTCCCTACTCTTAAATTAGCCCAGTCGAGTGTTTCATTGTTTGTTGCTTGAGTGCGAAAACGTCAATTAAGGAACATGACTTTTCGAGCGCCATTGCAGTCTGTTGAAGCGTTTTAGAGTTTAAGAGTTATTACTAGTATGTTATAAGTCTGATAAAGGAAGGCGTGTGACATTCAAGCATCTTTTATTAGTTGATAAAAGAGTAGACTCTAGTCTAGATAAAAGTAAATACAATTAGTAGACTCATTGAGGTTACAGATTGCCTGGTTGAAGATAGATACATTGGTCGGAGGATACTACGTTGGAGACTATAAGGATGCTATTCTCAGAGCTCCCATTTATTATATACGCTATATATGGCTATTTTTGACAGAGAGGAAAGATGAGCTACATTTGACTCTCTCACTCTCACACACCCACACACTTACACACTCCCACACACCCACACACTTACACACTCCCACACACACAAAGATAGACCTACACTACATTACCAAAGGTATGTGGACACCTGCTTGTCGAACATCTCATTCCAAAATCATTAATATGGAGTTGGTCCCCCCTTTGCTGCTATAACAGCCTCCACTCTTCTGGGAAGGCTTTCCACTAGATGTTGGAACATTGCTGCAGGGACTTGCTTCCAATCAGCCACAAGAGCATTAGTGAGGTCGGAAAATGATGTTGGGCGATTAGGCCTGGCTCGCAGTCAGCGTTCCATTTCATCCCAAAGGTGTTCGATGGGGTTGAGGTCAGGGCTCTGTGCAGGCCAGTCAGACAAACCATTTCTGTATGGAGCTCGCATTGTGCATGGGGGCATTGTCATGCTGAAACAGGAAAGGGCCTTCCCCAAACTGTTGCCACAAAGTTGGAAGCACAGAATCGTCTAAAATGTAATTGTATGCTGTAGCGTTAAGATTTCACTTCACTGGAACTAAGGGGCCTAGCCCGAACCATGAAAAACAGCCCCAGACCATTATTCCTCATCCACCAAACTTTACAGTTGGCACTATGCATTCGGGCAGGTAGCATTCTCCTGGCATCCGCCAAACCCAGATTCGTCCGTCGGACTGCCAGATGGTGAAACATGATTCATCACTCCAGAGAACGTGTTTCCACTGCTCTAGAGTCCAATGGCACAGAGCTTTACACCACTCCTGCCGACGCTTGGCATTGCGCATGGTGATCTTAGGTTTGTATGCGGCTGCTCGGCCATGGAAACTCATTTCATGAAGCTCCCGGCAAACAGTTCTTGTGCTGAGGCAGTTTGGAATTCGGTAGTGAGTGTTGCAACCGAGGACAGACGATTTTTACACACTACAGACTTCAGCACTCTGCGGTCCCGTTCTGTGAGCTTGTGTGGCCTACCACTTCGTGGTTGAGCCATTGTTGCTCCTAGACATTTCCACTTCACAATAACAGCACTTACAGTTGACCGGGGCAACTCTAGCAGGGCAAAATTTGTACGAACTGACACGGCGGAAAGGTGGCATCCTATGACTGTGCCACGTTGAAAGTCACTGAGTTCTTCAGTAAGGCCATTCTACAGCCAATGTTTGTCTATGGAGATTGCATGGCTGTGTGCTCGATTTCATACACATGTCATCGACACACAATCAGACACACCGCAGGGCTTATTCTTACTCAAACACTCGCCCAGCCTGCGTACGGGAGGGCTATTTTAGCTGAGATTTAGTGTGGCCTGTGTGTGTGACAGGCCGTGGTGGCGGTTGTAGAGCGATGGCGGAGAGAGGACCGCTCTGAGCACTGATTTACTCCCCAGGCCCCACGCTCCTTACTGCACACTCAAGCATCAACACTAAATCACAACCACAACACCAGGCTAGAGAAATAAATAAATCAAACGTAAAGAAAGAGAGAAAGAGAGGGAGGGAGAAGACAAGAGGGAAATAAAAAAAATTGAGAGGCAGAAAGAAAGGTGGAAAGCGAGAGCACACAGTGACCTAAGAACACAGTAATAAGAGCAATAAGAACACAGCGAAGTCTGAAAATTGCCTGAGCCATTAAAGTTGGCCACTTGGCCTATTAACAACCAACCATTCTAGAGATTGTCCCTTCTTCAACTCAATTACTCTCTTCTCTCCATTTCCAGGTATCATAGGCAGCGACTATATCAACGCCAACTACATAGACGGTTACAGGAAGCAGAATGCCTACATCGCAACGCAGGGTCCTTTGCCCGAGACGTTTGGAGATTTCTGGAGGATGGTGTGGGAACAGAGGGCAGCCACTGTGGTCATGATGACCAGACTGGAAGAGAAATCACGGGTAAGTAACTATAGAATTGAATCTGGTGTTCCCCCTGGATCAGTGTTAGGCTTGTTTTCTGACCAAAACAGACTTTACAGAAAAACTATTTCGAAATTCTGCAGTGTAACTGAGGAAAGTATAAGAGTCACTTTAAAGTGCACAGGGACAGAATCATTTCTGGTTAGTGCAATGTTGTTGTCTGTATGCAAGCCATAATCAGCCTAGGCATTGTGAATGGCCCTACAACAATACGAAGAATGCCAAGGAATCCACCTTAGAAACCAACCCTACAACCCCTCTACACCCGAAAAGGGGTTTCTTTACCTCAGGTATCTTACCTCATTCTCTGTTATCCCTCTCCATCTCTGCCCTTTTTATTCATTTACCTATCCCTCCGTCATGTGCGTTCTGCCCCTGTCAGATACCATCAGGGTTAGCAGGCGGTGAGCGTTGACTGTGAACGTAAGGAGAGCGTTAGAGCGATGCGTTTCCTGCACTAGCTGTCACATCGCATCGGGGGGGAGGGGTTGGCGCGTATTGAATGAATATTCATTAGGTTAGGAAGGAAAGGATGGATAGGGTGACTGAGTGTTGGGGTGGAGGAGGGGGAGTGGTGGGGGAGCTGTCTTGGACACACTGTGTGGATCTCTGCTGAAAGGGAAACATACCCATCCTTGATTGATTGGTGGTTGTTGCTAGGGGGAGGCAGGGGGACGGGTGGATGGAGGGATGGGGAGGGGTTTAATGATTGTAGGTGAAGCCTACAGGGCAGGAGTTGATTTGACACTTCTTCTTTCCTTTCATTCCCCCGTTCTCTCTGTTTATTTACCTGGAGTGTAGAAAATGTGAAGGCAGCCAAGGGCCCGGTTTCCCAAAAGCATCTTAAGGCTAAGTTCATCGTAAGAACGTTCGTAGGAGCATCGTTAAATCTCCGAGCTGTTTCTCAAAACCATCATTACTAAAGTTGCACTTGAAAACGCTTGTTATTTACTGAATGCCTCAGACCATTCTTAGAACAGTAAATGTGTTGTTAGATTATTTTTTTGCCCTTCCGAGTCACTTCACACATAGAAGATCTCTGCTAAACATAGAATCAAGATGTTTATCTGTCTCTCTGTGACCGCCAATAACTTCAGAACGAAGTTGACTACGAATAAAAAGTTGCCAATGTCTTTGCAATTGTTACAAACAAGCGAAAACCAAGATGACTGAATGAAGATGAATACAGTATAGGCTACATAGGCCTATGTATTCCAATCATATTGAAATCAATTTAATGTTCGTTCAATTGAGTTCTATTTTGTTAATTGTAGGCGACTGTCTGTCATTTTTGCCACTGAGTATACAAAACATTAAAAACACCTGCTCTTTTCATGACTGGTGAAGCCAGGTGAAAGCTATGATCCCTTATTGATGTCACTTGTTAAATCCACTTCAATCAGTGTAGATGAAGGTGAGGAGACAGGTTGAAGAAAGATTTTTAAGCCTGGAGACAATTGAGACATGGATTGTGTATGTGTGCCATTCAGAGGGTGAATGGGCAAGATAAAAAATGCCTTTGAACGGGGTATGGTAGTAGGTGCCAGGTGGTTTGTGTCAAGAACTGCAACGCTGCTGGGTTTTTCACACTCAACAGTTTCCCGTGTGTATCAAGAATGGTCCACCACCCAAAGGACATCCAGCCAAATTGACACAACTGTGGGAATTATTGGAGTCAACATGGGCCAGCATCCTTGTGGAATGCTTTCGACAACTTGTAGATTCCTTTCCCCGTCGAATTGACGCTGTTCTCAATATTAGGAAGGTGTTCCTAATGTTTGGTATACTCAGTATATTTTGTGATGTGTAACAACATGTGCGCAATGATGTACCAAATATACAATAGTCTATTATTATAGGGTAAGCATTAGAATAAGACACCTCAATATTTGCAGCCATGTAGGTGATAGCCTATCTCTAGGAGCTGATCTGTCGTCAGTAGTGTGGAATAATTATAATGTTAAGGTAAGATGTGAATGGAGAAAGATGATCCGAGAGCAGTGCTGCCTTTCTTTCGATCCTATTTGTATCGACACAAGCTCCGACTACGAACTTATAGAAAGTTCTCCCTATTTGGTGTTTGGGAAGCGCATGTGAGTTCTTCTGCCTTTATAGGAATGATGCATCGTTAAAACACTCGTAAGCTTAAGTTCCATCGCTATCGGGAAACCGGGCGCTGGTGTGTTCTGTGAGCGTGTGTGCGTGCGTGTTTGCGTTTATTTGTGTGTGTGTATATGTGTGAATGAATGCCGTAGTTTGCCTTTGTTGTGTGTTTAGGTGTGTGTGTGCACTCACCCACCTCGTCTCCTCTCTCCTCAGATCAAGTGTGACCAGTACTGGCCCAGTCGAGGAACAGAGACCTATGGGATGACCCAGGTGACTCTACTGGACACCATAGAGCTGGCCACCTTCTGCGTCCGCACCTTCTCCCTGCACAAGGTACGAGTGAGTACACAACTTTACTCCACCCATACTGCATAAACACTCATTTCACACTATGTTGTGCCTTAAGTCACACTGTAGTGTACGAGTGAGTACACAGCTTTACTCCACCCATACTGAAACTAATTTCACACGATGTTGTGCTGCAAGTCACACTGTAGAGTACTGTACACACGGGCAAAACATAATTCACTACACTACACACTTCAAACTGCACTACTGCATTGAATCACACTCCCTACTACTATTCTACACTCCACTCCTAAGTATCCACATTGCACACTATACCACTCCAGTCCAGACTGTCATCTGTTATATTCCTACTACTCCCTAGGCCCCCTATAGAACTGAAAATATCAGGCAGTAGTTTAAAGCAATATAGCCTTCTGGTAGGCTTGGTGGAACACTCCCCATGTTTCTTTCATCCGTGTCATTGTTTCAGTGGAGGCTTTGTTTGTGTGTTTTGTGAGGCCATCTGAGGAGAAGCCAATGTGGAAATAATGTGAGGAGAGGAATAAGAAATGTCAGGAATGCGATATGAGCTGTAATATGCTGCTGTATGCAGAGTCTTGCCTGGTGGGCCCTGGGGAGAGCAAGCCTTTCAGGAGCCTGTCTGTCTGTCTCCTTGTATTGTATTGGCTTTCCTAGTCAAACTCACAAACAGCGTATTTCTCGTAGCCAGCACTCAACACAACATCCTCCTCCTGCATCCAACAAGCAAATAAACAACAGAATGGTGAGGAATAGGTGAAGGATGGAAAGGAGAGGGAAATTGTTTACTTGGGTCGTCTCTCTCTTTATCTCTTTCTCAATCTCTCTCTCTCTCTCGCTCTCTCTACCCCTATCTCATTTAAGCGTCTCTCTCTTTCTCTCTCTCTCTCTTTCCTCTCCCTCTCTGCATCCACTTTTCCCTCTCACTCCCTCTCTCTCCTTCTCCCTTTAAACTATTTACATTCTCTCCTTCTTCCCAGACCTCTCCCTTCTTCCTCTCTTGTTCACTGTCCATCATCTTTTAATGTTGGTCTGCCAAATAGAAGCACTTAGCTAAGTGAGTGGAAGAAAATGCTACATGCATAATTGGCAGACTTTTCATATCCCACCCACCACCGACTCTTGGCGGTCAACATAAAAGTGTATAGCTAAAAAAGGAAATGTCTCTTTAAAAGATACGACTGCATTAAGTGGGCCCTTTAAGACGTCTGTGGCGGTATGTTTTGGTTCTGTTAAATGGAGCACAGTGCTAACGCTAAACTCTAATGCTATGCTAACAGGCTGCTGTGTACTGGAGCTAGGGGGAGCTAGCTAGCTAGCTAGCTGGTAATACAGGTGCTTTTGGGCTGGTTAGGTTCAGTGCTACGTGGCTAACACTATGCTAACGGGTTCTGTTGCTTTATACTGGAGCTAAGTAGAGGAGCTAGGCTAGGCTAGCTAGTAGCACTGGTGCTTTTGGGCTGGTTAGAATTTTTGGGCTTGTTGGTGTACACATCTGTTAGTTTACAGCATCCTGTTGACCCGTCCCTCTTGATCCCTCTGTGCTCTCTATACTCCACTCCCCCCCCCTCTCCCCCCCTTTTGCTCCCCCCCCCCCCTTTTTTTTCTTCCCTCTATTCTTTCCACACGCTGCTATTCCATCTCTCTCTTAACCTCCCTCTATCCCTCACACATCTCTCCATGTTCTCTCTTCTTCCCCAGCTGTCTCGTATCCCCCCACCTCTCTCTGTCTCTCTCTTCTTCTGGTCTCTTCTATTCTCTCTCTCTCTCTCTCTCCTCTCTCTCACTCTTCTCTCTCCTCTCTCTCTCTCTCTCTCTCTCTCTCTCTCTCTCTCTCTCTCTCTCGTCTCTCTCTCTCTCCTCTTTTCTCTCTCTCTCTATCTTCCCTCTCTCTCTCTCCCAGCATTCCCTCTCTTACTTTCTCTTCTTATTTCTGGTATGGTGTCTCATTGTTCTGTTCTCCGGTTGCCGTAGTTGCTTTGTAGAGAGTCTGTAACACACACACACACAGGCATCTATATGTATGCATATTCTGCAGTGACACAGAACCCTCCCGACGAGTGATAAATTCTTTAAAATAATCTGGGCGCCAGCCAGCTAGTTATCCCTCCCTGCAAAGAAAGAAGCACATCCACAGCAGAAAACACAAAACCAGTGGAATGGCCCAGGAAATAAATAGACAAAAAATAGACAAATCCCCGCAAACTAGGTCAGTTTGCTTTTAATTACTGCATTTATTTATTCATTTATTCAGCAGAAAAGTCTGTGAGGAAAGCAGAAAACGCTGCATTGAAATGCAAACGATTGCTTTAAAGAGCTTCCAGGAAAAAAGGAAAAGGGAAAACTAGAGGGCAGGGCAATGCGAGGTGTTTTTTCTCATTTTGTTTTAGTTTTTTTGCCGTCACATTTTTTTTCTCTCCTGTGTTAGACAGCTTTCCAATGCGTAATTATTATCGCTCTCTTTATGTCTCTGTTTATTGTGGTTGGCACACAGACAGGGGAACAGATTTTGCGGTATAAAGATGCATACCCTACAATTGTCTAAGCAAGTAGCTAAGATAGTGACATGCTATGTCATATATATGAATAGGAGGCACGTTGCTCTTGGAATGGGTTTGTATCGAGGCAAAAATGAATGGTCTGATAGACACTAATTTGGAGGCTTGAAATCAGAGCTGTTTCGCACACACACACACACACACACACACATGTTGAATGAACCCCCATCTCTCTCTCCTGCCCCTCCAGAATGGTTCCAGTGAGAAGCGGGAGGTACGTCAGTTCCAGTTCACGGCGTGGCCTGACCACGGGGTCCCCGAGTACCCCACCCCCTTCCTGGCCTTCCTACGCAGAGTCAAGACCTGTAACCCCCCTGACGCAGGCCCCATCATCGCCCACTGCAGGTTGGTACACACACATACACACACATACACACACACAAACACACTACACAGCTACAGATAGTGGACAGATACACCCAGCAGATTTCACAGCAGGGTATATAGTATATGAAAATAATACTTCTGGCTGGCCACACATTGTTTGGTGCAGATTTTTGTTTCACCCCATTCAACTACTGTTCAATAAGTACTCAACTAGGTTGAGATTCAACTAGGTTAATTAGACTCAATAAGGATTCAAATAGGTTAGTTCAATGAGGTGTGGTACTGCAGAGCCAGTGTCAATGTTTCCTCTCTTTCTTCCAATGAACCATGGACCCAGCACCTCAGATGACAGAGGCCAAATCGTAACCGTAAATATTCCATTGACATCCATGCATGATTGATGTGAAGGTTGCCGTTAGGATTCGATCCATACTTACAGTATCTTTGTTCACACAGCATGGTAGTAGATAAATTATGAATCTTTATTGGAAAGATATCCTCACTCACAGTATGTATGCTCTGAATTGAATGTACTAAATCGTTTACTGCCATGGCAACAAACAAGGGTTCAACCAGGTGGGTTGTCGGTGGGAACCTACCAAATCTGATCTAAACCATAGTGTTTCATTCTATTTCTATGGTCTAAACACTGTTGGTTTGTGGCATTCTAGCCTTTAAGTCATGAGCTTATTGCGTTGGATATCTATGTTATTTTGTATCTGTGGTCTTTGTACAGTTGCCCTCCCAAGTCAGGAGGTATGACACAACCACTGTTCAACAGGGTGAACAATACACTTTACAATACACACGATACACATCAGTGCTCCAAAGGGTGTGTGTGTGTGTGTGTGTGTGTTTGTGTGTTTGTGTGTGTGTGTGTGTGTGTGTGTGTGTGTGTGTGTGTGTGTGTGTGTGTGTGTGTGTGTGTGTGTGTGTGTGTGTGTGTGTGTGTGTGTGTGTGTGTGTGTGTGTGCGTGCGTGCGTGCGTGCGTGCGTGCGTGCGTGTGTGTGTGTGTGCGTGTGTGTGTGTTTGTACGGTGCAGTGCATAGATCCAGTCATGCAGTGCTGGTAGAACAGTAATAGAGTGGTGAGTAAAGTGAAGGTCATAGCTCTCCAGTGTGTTAACACTAGACTGCAGGGCTCTGAGTCACTCCCACACACACACCCACATGCACTCTCACACATACACACTCGCTCCCTATTAACTATGTCTTCACGTTCTCTTTCATGCCCTTCTCTTCCTCTTCTTGTTCTGCATCTTTCTCCTGCTCCGCCCTCTCTCTCCAACACTCTATGTGTTCTGCTATCATCACTCTTTTCGTCACCATCTCCTCCCTGACCCCTTGCATCCCTCCATCCTTCTCTTTCAAATTCATATCCAAACTCACTTTATTAGTGTCTGCAAAATGACTGAAATGTAAATGTATTAGCATGACTGGATCAAGCCAACATTGTCAAAGCAAGATGGCAAATATAAAGATCCAGTCAATCTTGAAAACTGGAGGCCTCTTACACTTCAATGTTGTGATGCAAAAATACTAGAGAAATGCATAGCACTCAAAATTAAAAAGGTTTTACAAGGTATTGTTCATCCTGATCAGACAGGTTTTTTACATGGACGATACATTGGAGATAATATACGACAACTACTAGAAATAATAGAACATCATGAAACATCTAAGAAGCCAGGCCTGGTATTTATAGTGGAATTTGAAAAGGCCTTTGATAAAGTAAGCCTGGATTTTATTTATAAATGCCTGGATTTTTTCAATTTCAGGCATTATTATATAAAATGGGTATAAGTAATGTATAGCAACCCCAGGTGTAAAATAGTAAATAGCGGCTACTTCTCAGAAAGTTTTGAATTGTCAGGAGGAGTTAAACAAGGGTGTCTGCTGTCACCATATCTATTTGTTATGGCAATCGAAGTGCTAGCTATTAAAATCAGATCAAATAACAACATTAGAGGATCCAAGGCTTAAAAACGAAGGTGTCCATGTATGCCGATGACTCAAGTTTTATATTAAGTCCGCAAGCTAGATCCCTGCAATGTCTCATTGAAGATCTAGAGAACTTTTCTGGACTCTCTGGACTAAAACTTAATTATGATAAGTGTACAAAATTACGTATTGGAACTTTTACATTACCCTGCAGTTTACCTATAAAATGGGCTGAAGTAGACATACTTGGTATTCATATCACAAAATATATAAATGAGCTCTCCACAATGAATTTCAATAGAAAACTTGTAAAAATAGACAAGATCCTGCAACCACGGAGCGGTAAATACCTGTCTATTTATGGAAAAATTGCCCTGATTAACTCCTTAGTCATATCTCAGTTTACTCACTCACTTACATATGAGAAAAAATATTTAGCTTTATCTGGGAAACTAAACCAGACAAGATAAAGTGTGCCTATCTATATAATTAATATGAATTGGGTGGGTTGAGATTATTAAATATAAAAGCACTAGACCTCTCTCTTAAAGCATCACCTATTCAAAAATGTTACTTGAACCCTAAATGTTTCTCAAGTAGATTACTAAGAAAAGCTCATCCATTGTTTAAAAATGGCCTTTTTGCCTTTGTGCAGATTGCCATGTCTAATTTTCGATTAATTGAAAATTAAATTTCTTTCAAAGTATCTGTCTTTTTCAAACAAGCATTGCAGAGCTGGCTACAATTTCAATTTCATCCCCTTGAAAAGATAGAACAAGTATTACAAAAATATTAAGGCTGAACTCAAATGTGCTGGTTGATTAAAGACCTGTATTTATTGGAAATATGTTTTGTTTTTAAATTATATTGTAAATTTAAATGGTAGAGTTATGTCTTTCATGGAGTTATCAGAATTGTATGGGAAGGTCTGCTCAATCCAAGATTACAACAAATTGATTATAGCATTACCCCAAAAATGGAGGAGGCAGGTGGCAGTGGGAGGAGGTAGGGAACTGGTCTGTCTGCCCAATATAAAGGATCAAAACCTGCGGAGGAATAAAAATAGCATAAATAGGAAAGTATTTGATGACTAGGATGTTGACAGCTGTGCCATACAGATTGCAAAATAGTTGGGAAGAGATTTTTGATGTACCGATTCCATGGTATGAGTTGATATATAAAACAACCAAAGATTCAAGACTTCAGCAAATGATTATATAGAATTCTTACCACCAACAAAATGTTGAATATTTGGGGCATACAATCATCGAAGTTCTGCAGATTTTGTTGTGAGGATATAGAATCAATAGACCATTTGTTTTGGTATTGCCCTCAGGTAGCCTGTTTCTGGTCTCAGGTTCAGGAATGGCTGAAAATGCATAAAATGGATCTAAAATTGACCCTAGAAATAGTACTGTTGGGAGATCTGGAGAGACCGGGTCAGTCAACTACTAATATACTAATACTCTTAGTAAAAGTATTTATCTTCAACTCGCATGGTCTCGGATGGTTGAGGGGCAGCTCTTGGGGGAACTGTGGGGGGGATCTTGGAGGGCTGATGGCCTGGCGGTTGGGAGCTTGGGCCGGTGGCTGACGGATCGCTGGTTTGGGTCCCCGTTTTTGACCTTGTGGGAGATCTGTCAACGTGCCCTTGAGCAGGGCGTTGACCCTGGGTTGCTTCTGTGTGTCCCTCTGGATGGGAGTCTGTTAGATGACTCGTGTGATGTAGTTGCTGAGCGGCTTCACTGCAAGTATATTGTATGTTTTAAATATTCAATAAATATAGTTTTTTAAGTATTAAAAAATAACAAAAATAATAACATTGTCAAAGCAATCCACAATGGAAGATAAATCTCAAATACCTGATCTGTGATGAAATTGTATCTGTCCGTTTTATGTGATTTTAAAGACCAATCCCTAATGTTCTCTCTCTCTGTCTATCTCTCCCCCTCTCCCCATTCTCTTCTCTCGCTCCCTCTTTTCCCCTCTCCCTCTCCCCCCTCCCCCTTATGCCCCCCCCCCCCCCCCCCCCCTTCCCTTCCAATCCTCTCTCCCTCCTCTCCCAGTGCGGGTGTTGGGCGGACTGGCTGCTTCATTGTGATCGACGCCATGCTGGAGCGCATCAAGCATGAGAAGACGGTGGACATCTACGGCCACGTGACGCTAATGCGCTCGCAGCGAAACTACATGGTGCAGACGGAGGACCAGTATAGCTTCATCCACGACGCGCTGCTGGAGGCAGTGGCGTGCGGCAACACGGAGGTGGCGGCCAGGAGCCTGTACTCGTACATCCAGAAGCTGGCCCAGGTGGAGACGGGCGAGCACGTCACCGGCATGGAGCTGGAGTTTAAGGTAGGGGATGTAGATATAGATAGGTACAGAGAAACTGAGGTAGGGAGGATGGGGAAGGTACAAAATGGAGGATGTTTGTTTGGTAGAGTGGAGCAGAGCCTGAGTTTAAGGTAGGCCATAGACATGTAGGTACGTAGGCTGCAGTGAACCTGAGAAAAGAGAGGGTGGGGAAAGGCACAAAATTGAGGTTTATTTAGGTTTAGGCCTACCAATACCAAACCATAAATTATGTTGAGACACAAAATGTAGCTTTTATCTTCAGTTGCTCTCAATGCTCTGTCACATCCATGATATCTTTGAGCCAGAGGTAAAACACTAACGTTTAAATTTAAATGGCCTTGGAATCATTTTAAATATATATTGACTTGTATATATTTTATACCGGTACATTAAATTGGGCATATCCATACCACATTCAATTGATGTAGATTCAAATGTTAATAGACAGTTTATTATACTTTATTCATGTGAGCCTTAACCTCAATCATTCAGTCACTGTTTGCTCACACCACTCAGTACCATTGTCTTTTAAAAAGCTAGAAATTGAATAGTTAAGCTGTCTGCTCTTTATCCTTGGTGTGAATCTATTTCTGAAGGATTTCAAATAATATGCTCCAGATAGAGCAGCTTTGTGATCAGTGTATAGACTCCAAATGAAGGATTATTCTGAAAAAGCATAACACGATTCATTTCAAACTTAACAAATAACTGCTTAGATGAGAACCCATTATCCAAACCTGGAAGCGCATGGAATCTGGCCGAACACTTAGTGAGAGACCGACGATCCAATCCTATCCAAACTTTGTTGTTCCCCCTTGCACAACAACACACTTGACCTTGAATTACACATGTACATGCCCCTATCTCGCCTCGAAATCATTTGTAATATACCCAATGCCATTTATCATCTCGCAGCGCTAAGAAACAATAATGATGACGGTTTCATCTAAGACATTTGCTACAGTATACCATGATAGAATCTCTAATAGCTACAGCCCCATCTGTAATAGCGATAATGGTACTACGAGGTATAAAGTCGCGTCGGATTAATAACGGCGAATGGCGGCGGTCGTGGCACGAGAACGTTAGTGAGGAGATGTAATTAATAGTTGATGATGACAAATGGCGAGGCGGACGGCGAGGGCAAGCGGGAGGGTCCCCTCACAAATGAACAGAGAGACGTTACTGCGTCTTAGAAAGGAGTTGCTCTGACAGTTAGTCAGTGTTTCCCAAACTCGGTCCTGGGGACCCCAAGGGGTGCACGTAGGGCTGTTACGGTGACCATATTACCGCCACACCAGCGGTCAAATTCCACATGACCGTTTATTCATGGTAACTAGGCTTCTCCTAGCTCTGATGCTGCTGATGGTCATTAGTAGTAGCCTACCAAACTTGCTAACTGCCTGGTACTTATCACTCTGTTGTCCCTCTAATCACTCTGACATCAATGCAATTGTAATCGAAAACCTTCATGAGAGCCCATGAGCACATGTGCAACATTTCTATAGGCTATGCAATTGAGTGAGAAAACAGAGTTTTGATGGCCTCTATTAAAAAGAGGAGGATCCCATCAGCTTTCTATAGGCTAGGCCTACTATATTTATTTCTCAACTTTCCTAATATTAAGCACATTGCTTCTCTTTACAACAGGAGTATAGCCTACCTGGCTGGCATGAAAATGAACCACGGGAAAAGCATCCTCCATTCGCTATTTAAGTGCATAGATGACATGTATTTTTTCCCCCTTCCCCTGTTTCGAGACAGGTGCATGATAATGGTCCATTCTAAATCAAAACAAATTTCACACATAGATTATATTATTTAGTATATGTAAAGATTAAATCAAAAATAGTCTGATGGGTGACAATATTAGCCTATCCCTTCTGAACGATATATTATTACTTGTGAATGATGCCCAGCTTGTGTGCAGTAAAGCAAGAAACAGCACATGCCTTTTCAAATCATAGTCGCACACCTTATGTAGCCTATCCCATAGGCCTATATGTTTTTATATGTTTTCTATCACTACTTAAGTGGCCAAATATCTTCTTAAAATTAATTACATTAATCTGCTTTACAACAGGTGTAAAGCCTAACTGGCATACATACGCGGCGCGTGAGTTTCAAGTTTGGGGAAGACAATTTTCACCATAGAAATGCACCTTTATAATAATAGCATTACATGCATAATAGCATTTGCGGTAACTTTTGAGAATAGTGTTTTCCCGCTAATTGATTGCATTTTGGAACATTGGCGTTTATAGCCTACTGCTATGTGTGCATTGCTGCGCTTATAATGTGAAGAAATAGCCTAATAGTTTATCAACATTTTAAGGTGAAAGTTCTGATCTGTTGCATCAGCCTCATTGCTTTTAAAAGGTTTTTTGATGCTTGTGGTTGTATTAATCTGGGATCTATCACAATTTACAACTGTCCCAGACTAAGTTGGGAATATTTATTTATCGCACAGAATATAATAGGTCAACTTTTGTACTATGGGGGATAGCTGTTCGTTAGGCCTACTCATCTTATTGACTGGCGAAAGTAAATGTGGACAGTTCTTCCAACATCTTCAATATGCACCTCGGAATTCGATAAGGACTGCCACAGATGTGTCCCCGATGTGTCTTTCTTCACTTGTAGCCTGTGAGAAAAACCTGTTCACGTGACGGGCATTGGCTAATAAGAATTGAGATATCTGAGAGAGCCATGTGAGTGAGAGGTGCTTCAGAGCACGCTGCTGGGAGAAGGGAATTATAATCATTATATTCAGCCCAAGGGCACAATGGCCACTGGCTTCAAAAGGCAAGGATTCTTTTAGGGGGCATTACGGCTACATAAAGGGGATACCGCCGGGAAATTCGATGCATTATCAAGTGCTTGTCAAATTGTGAATGAGAGACTTATGAAGTGTGTACAGCCTGCGCAAAAAACTAAGCAGAGCTCATGCCTTTCATGCGACTTTTTTCAAATCATCATTAGAGTCGCATCATGCAGCCTTAGAATGTATTAAAAACCAAAACATATAGCCCAACATTTGTATCACAACTAAAGTTGCATAAATAACTCTAAATTAAGCACATAGGAGGACCTGTTTCTTTGTTAACTGCTCAACACAGAATAGCAGCATGTGCGCACTCCCTCAAATCGTTTGGAGAAAATATCCTTTCTATTTTATTGAGTTATGTTCAATTGTATTCGTCATCCTATCAAATAATATAAAATAATGCCAAGGAATTCTAAGCAAATCTTGTCTGTTAAATGAACTTGTGTATCCCATAGCCATATGGCATAGCCAGATCAGGGCCTAACATAAGGACAACTCAGAGTAGGCTATTCTGTTCTTCTGAAATAGACTACATTGCATTGCTTGACAATCACCGGCTGACAAAATGTAATGACCGCCACAGCCTTAGGTGCACGTTTAGATTTTTTCCCTAGCACTACACAGCTGATTCAAATAGGACCGAGTTTGGGAAACCCTGCTCTATAGGCTTGAGATCAGTACAGTCGTCCATAGCGATGTTTATGCCTTTGTTTACTTACGACTGCCAGCACGCACACCAGACCTGGGTTCAAATAGTATAGCAACGCTTCAGCTATGCTTGATTAACCAATGGAATAGTCCCAAAAATGCAAATCCCGCCCATCATGCTTAGCATCATGGTAGTGGTAGGCTACATGACAGAGAACATAAGTACAGTATCATCCAGAACTCCCTGTGGAAAGGGGCACGAGAGTGGAGAAAATATGGCAACTAAGGTTGTTTCTTTGACTAGAGGTTTCCTAGGTGCATCTCTGCCCTTAGGGAGGAAGGAAAAGGAGGACGGGTTGCCAGATTGGTTGGTTTCCAATCCAAACTCTCCCCCCGGAGTTTGGTGTAGTAGCAGCGCTGGGCGTCTTTAGCCTTGCCAGCCCGTCTCATACCCTTCCAGGTGCCTCTGTAAAAGGGGGATCAAAGGGAAGAAAGGAGAGAGGGAAGAGAGGAGGGGATGGGGACAGGAGGGTTGACCCAAATCCAAGTGGCAATGACAGACTGGGCTTTTGGCACTGAAAGAGAGAGGGAGAGAGAAGAGGGGGATGAGGGAGAAAGAGAGAGAGAGAAGGGGAGAGGGAGAGAGAGAAAAAATTACATAGGGGGAATGAGTGAGAGACATTTTAGGGAGGGAGGAAGGAGTAGCGAGAGTTAAGTTGAGAGAAAGATTGAGAGAGGCTGTCAGAAAAGGTATAGCTTACACACAGCAGACATCAAGGTCAAAGGAGCGAATGGGGAGAAGAGGGGGATGAGGAGAAGGTGGTGAGGTGGCTGGTGCTGGACACGTGTGTGTGTGTGTGTGTGTGTGTGTGTGTGTGTGTGTGTGTGTGTGTGTGTGTGTGTGTGTGTGTGTGTGTGTTTGTGTGTGTGTGTGTGTGTGTGTGTGTGTGTGCACGTGCGTTTGAGGGATGATATTGTCAGACAGACTGACCCACAAACTGCCTTGACGGTCCCTTTGATGGTCATTTGTCAGTACAGGTCCCAATTTGGATCATGACACTGTGTGTGTGCACGGGCATGCTCGAATGTATTCTGTGTGACTGTGTGCTCGACTGTTTGTAGAGCATATATCAGACCCCCATTATCAAAGACTTGAGTGACCCACTTTTTGCAGATGGGTTTACAGCCTCATAGAAACCCCTCTCTCCAGTTTCTGTTTGATGCTAGCTTGTTACAGTAGTACAGACTAGTGCTTCAAGTCATACTATCTTACTTCATAGCACCTCACACGTGACTTCACATCGCAAGGTACACAGGGATATGAAAAGAAAATGGGCAGTAGAATAAAGACTGTGTTCTTTGATTGCTCCATCCAGCCATACATTATGAAAGCATTCATCAAATAGATGTGTCTTCATTTATAAGGTGCTTTAGCGATCGTTTAAGGCTCGGCTCTGTCTCGCTCAGATAAGATTAGATCTCACAGTTCTTTATTACTCTGCAGTCGTTAATCTCTCGCTCTCCTTCCATCTCGCCTTCTCTCTCTACCACTTTCTGTCCTTTTGACTTTCGTTCCATATGACTCCATCCATCCCTCTCTCTCTCCCTCTCTCTCCTTCCTTCCCCCTCTTCTCTCCCCTCTTCTCTTCTCCCATCCCTCCACCTCCCCCTCTCCCCCTCTCTCCTCCTCTCCATCTCTCCCTCATCCCTCCATCCACCCCTCCAACTCCTCCTCTTCTACAGCGCCTGGCCAATTCCAAGGCCCACACGTCCAGGTTCATCAGTGCCAACCTGCCCTGCAACAAGTTCAAGAACCGTCTGGTGAACATCATGCCCTACGAGACCACCCGCGTCTGCCTGCAGCCTATCAGGGGCCTCGAGGGCTCCGACTACATCAACGCCAGCTTCATCGATGGATACAGGTAGGTGGAATGGGTGGGTGGGTGGGGGAGAGAGAGAAAGAGGGGGAGGGGTGTGTGTGTTTGCATGCATGCCTGTCTGTGACTGTCTGTCTGTCTGACTCAGCACGCTACATGTCTGACCTGAATGTGTGTGTGTGTGTTGCCAGGCAACAGAAGGCCTACATCGCCACGCAGGGCCCATTGGCAGAGACCACAGAAGACTTCTGGAGGATGCTGTGGGAGAACAACTCTACCATCGTAGTCATGCTCACCAAACTCAGAGAGATGGGCAGGGTAGGAGACAGTTTATTTGTCTTTCTTCTTTCTTCTCCTCTCGAGAGCTCGCGCTCTCTCATAGACCAGATCGTCTCTTCTCTATCTCTACGCGAGCTTCTCGATCCGTCTGCATGCATAGATCAGCTTCGCTACTAGCTCTAGCGATGCGTAGCTCGTCGCTCTCTCTCGTCTCCCTAGCTCTCGCTATCGGTCTCTTCTCTCGTCTCTCGATTCACGCTATCTCCCTCTCTCTCTCTCTCTCCTCCTCCCAGACCCACTCAACCTCAAGCATTCTTCTCTCTGTCCATCATTCAGCGTTGTTATCCTCTGTAGTGCAGTCATCACTACTACCCCAATGACAAACGGAACACATGCCTAACCTGCGCTAACTGTAGTCTATGTATCCACGTGCATCTCAAAGATCTATTTATCCTATGCCTCCTCACATGTTTGTGTCTCTCTCTCTGTGTTCACAGGAAAAATGTCATCAGTACTGGCCCGCTGAGCGTTCGGCCAGGTACCAGTACTTTGTGGTGGACCCCATGGCTGAGTACAACATGCCCCAGTACATCCTCCGAGAGTTCAAAGTCACCGACGCCAGGGTAAGTGTGTGCTTGTGTGTGTGTGTGTGTGTGTGTGTGTGTGTGTGTGTGTGTGTGTGTGTCCATGCGTATGTCCTTTCCTTAGAGATGACATATTCTATTTCTATTTATGTCTCTCTCCCATAAATACTATGTCTAGAAATGCTACTGTACTAAACACTGAGTATTCCATAACATAGATTGACCAGGTGAATCCAGTTGAAAGCTATGATCCCTTATTTATGTCACTTGTTAAATCCACTTCAGTCAGTGTAGATGAAGGGGAGGAGACAGGTTAAAGAAGGATATTTAAGCCTTGAGACAATTGAGACATGGATTGTGTATGTGTGCCATTCAGAGGGTGAATGGGCAAGACAAAAGATTTAGGTGCCTTTGAAAGGGGTATGGTAGTAGGTGCCAGGTGCACCGGTTTGTGTCAAGAACTGCAACGCTGCTGTTAATTTTTTCGCTCAATAGTTTCCTGTGTGTATCAAGAATGGTCCACCACCCAAAGGACATCCAGCAAACTTGACACAACTGTGGGAAGCAATGGAGTCAACATGGGCCAGCATCCCTGTGGAATGCTTTCGACACCTTGTAAAGTCCATGCCCCGATGAATTGAGACTGTTCTGAGGGCAAATGTTTTGTATACTTAGTGTACATGCCTAGTGTATGTTCCATTCAACCTTTCATCTGTATCATTAGTGAGACCGGAGAAAGCAAGCTGATTGAGGCCATTTTTCTCCATCACATGATGGGGTATGTGTCATGAGTATGATAGTATGGTTGCTCATTATACCACCTTTAAAGGGGCAATCTGTAGTTCAAACAACAACAAAGTGGCCACTCCGCCACTGTTTTGGTAAACACCTGAGGGATTGGGTTGGAGAAGATCGCAGATTGCCCCTTTTAATGACAATATTTAGATCCAGAGAGAGCTTTGACCTGATGAAGATCCTCTTGATCGAAATGTTGTACAAACGTTGTGTAGGTGTTATAAGGAGCATACAGTGTGAAGCGCTTTTTGTCCTTTTCATATATGTACCATTAGCCCATTTTAGGGAAGTGCATAAGACCACAACCATTTCTATGATAATATGATTGTCAGTGGTCTGTTTAAGCACTAAGGCCCATTGTACAGTATAGGCGGCCATTTTGTGTCCAATGTAACGGTAACTGTATTGCAGCACACTAGCCCACATGTTGGATTGCTGCTTGAGCCAGCATGGCGGCTAGTTAGGAGCACTCATGTTGGTCTGGGAAAAAAAACACTTTACACACTGGCCTAGCCCTCAGCCCCCTGCTACTCCCACTGGGCAGATTAGACATACATGCCGCTTAAGCTGGTGCTCTAGGTACCACACACAAACTATACCTTCCCCTACCACACACACACACACACACACACACACAGTAAGGAGTGCCTGGGAAAGGTGGACTGGAGCGGCAGCAGCAGTGGTGGTTCTAGGCTGTCTTAATTGTGATTGAATCATCAAAGCGGCCCACTCCAGTAATCAGGTTGGGCCGTACGCGTAAGCTCTCCCCAATAAATGAAAGGGACCTCTAATCAGAGGTGACTGGAGGAAGAGAGGGAGACAGACAAGGAGCGGAGAGAGAGAGAGAGAGAGAGAGAGAGAGAGAGAGAGGTGGGTGGGTGGGTGGGAGAGAGAGGGAACGAATAAGAGGTGGTTGGTATGTCTGTGTGGAAAGAGTAGGGTTGTGTGTGTGTGTGTGTGTATGTGTGTGTGTGGGTGCGCGTGCGTGTGTGTGTGTGCACATATTCATGTGCATGCAATAGCAGAGACTCCACATTTCAGCTGTATCTGCTAGCGAGGCAATCACGTATTTAATCACACAATTTGACACAGTGTGCAGCCCCTAAGGTTGTGTGTTAAATGTATTTATTTAGATTTGTCTCTACGCGCTTCATTAATTGTGTTGTTGTTGTTTTTTCTTCTCCTTCGCTTTTAATCCGTGCGGGGAGGCAAAATGTTTTCAAATTAGGTTTAAAGGAAAAAACAGAATGGTAAGAGAGAGATAAGAGAAAACAGTTGCTTGTGACAGTCAAATTAAAGACACTTTTACACTGATGAGTCTGAAGACTAGTCATCAAGGACATTTTTTGGGGAGTATTAGGACTTCTTAGCCTTTTGCTTGGGACATTTATACTGAACAAAAACATAAATGCAACATGCAACAATTTCAAAGATTTTACTGTGTTACAGTTCATATAAGGAAATCAGTCAATTGAAATAAATAAATTAGGCCCAAATCTATGGATTTCACATGACTGGCAATACAGATATGTACCTGTTGGTCACAGATACCTTTAAAAAGAAAGATAAGGGCATGGATCAGAAACCAGTCAGTGTCTGGTGTGACCACCATTTGCCTCATGCAGCCCGACACATCTCCTTCGCATAGAGTTGATCAGGCTGTTGATTATGGCCTGTGGAATGTTCTCTTCAATGGCTGTGCGAAGTTGCTGGATATTGGCGGGAACTGGAACATGCTGTCGTACACATCGATCCAGATCATCCCAAACATGCTCAATGCACTCATTGTCTGGTGAGTATGCAGGCCATGGAAGAACTAGGACATTTTCAACTTCCAGGAATTGTGTACAGATCCTTGCAACATGGGGCTGTGCATTATCATGCTGAAACATGAGGTGATGGCGAAGAATGAAAACCCCACCGCCACCATGGGGCAGTCTGTTCACAATGTTGACATCAGGAAACCGTTCGCCCACACAACGCCTTACACTTGGTCTGTGGTTGTGAGGCTGGTTGGACGTACTGTAAATTTATGGTAGATAAATTAACATAAAATTATCTGGCAACAGCTCTGGTGGACATTCCTGCAGTCAGCATGCCAATTGCACACTCCCTCAAAACTTGAGACATCTGTGGCATTGTGTTGTGTGACAAAACTGCACATTTTAGAGTGGCCTTTTATTGTCCCCAGCTCAAGGTGCACCTGTGTAATGATCATGCTGTTTAATCAGCTTTTTGATATGCCACACCTGTCAGGTGGATGGATTATGTTGGCAAAGGTGAAATGCTCACTAACATGGATGTATTCACATTTGTCCTCAAAATTGAGAGAAATAAGCTTTTTGTGCGTATGGAACATTTCTGGGATCTTTTATTTCAGCTCATGAAACATGGGACCAACACTTTACATGTTTATATTTTTGTTCAGTGTATTAAGGCTACGAACCAATTCAACATACAGCCTCCTCTCCTTTTCTCTTTTCCTTGTCTCCTTTCCAGACAATGGACCTGAAATCACTTGATGGGTATAAGCAGTATAGTGGAAGCCAATCTACTCTGTTCAATGATCAGTCATCAAGCAAAGGAGACAAGGCTAAGGACTAGGGAGTGTTTGAGGAGTATAAGGACGTAGCCTTTGGTTCTGTATTGTATCCTCAGCCTCAGTTGCCAAATTCAAATTCAGAGACTGTTTCCTTTCCCTTCCAGTCGACTACTGAGATTAAGACACCACCATAATTGACTACCCTTCGGCAGAGATTCAAATAAAGCAATTTTCTCAATTAGTGTAAGTCCAGTCCGCACCGATGTGGACTGGAGCGGCAGCTCCAGTCCTCCATCCAGGAGGACTGGTTGCATGTCATTTTTTGCATGTCAGGTCCCTCCATCCATCAGTCCTCCATCCAGGATTACCCCGTTTAACACAATGTTTAGAAGAAGACGCTTGTCATGCCAGATGCCCTATTGATTTCCTCTAACCGGGACTTATTCCACTGAAGAAATTACAAGTTAAAATGATAGAGGGAGGGAGAAGGAGAGGGGGAAAGAGAGACAGAGGGAGTGAAATAAAGGAAAGATTGTTAGAGAGCGAGAGAAAGGGAGAAAATAGTTAGAGAGAGAAAAAGCGAACTGATAGACTGTCAGATGAACGTCAGGGGAGACAGGTCATTGTGGTGTTGTATGATGGTGAAGTTGAACTGGCCAGTTGTTGTTGTTATTGTGCGGTCTACTAGACACAGATAGGGACAGCGTTGGGACTTGGCGGTTCGCTGACCCCAGATCAAGTTTCTCTCTGGGGTGTGTAGTGAAACAGTTATTGTTTCTGTTGCTGAATCAGTTTGTTTGCTTGGTATGTGGTCGTCATAGTGGACAATGAAAGAGTCTGTGACACAGAGGACGTAAAGTGAAGGATCTTGGTTTTTACTGACCAACCCCTCTCTTTTTCTCTCCCTTTACATAATTTTGTCTTTCCCTTTTTCTCGATCCTCCTCTTTCTCCTCTCTTACCCTTTCCATCCATTCTTCTTCTTCTCTTTCCCTTTCTCAGGATGGGCAGTCCAGGACAGTGCGGCAGTTCCAGTTCACTGATTGGCCGGAGCAGGGGGTGCCCAAGTCAGGGGAGGGCTTCATAGACTTCATAGGCCAGGTGCACAAAACTAAGGAGCAGTTCGGCCAGGACGGACCCATCTCTGTCCACTGCAGGTAAGGGCCCTGTGTGTGTTTGTGTATGTGTGTGTGTGTGTGCATGTCTGTGTCTGCGTGTGTCAGAGTGTGTCTGCGTGTGTCTGTGTGTGTCTGTGTGTGTCTGTGTGTATCTGTGTGTTTATGCGCGTGTACATGGGCCTGCGTGTAGGTGTGAGACATGTTAGACATGTGTCAGTGGTGTTCTTTATAATTCAGACTGACACCATTATATGTACCTAACAATGTCAGCATATAACATATCATCCGGAGTCTGTAGGTGTGTAGGTGTCCGACATCCGGATTGATACCTTGTGTTGTTAAGGGGATTACAACCAGCCTCCCGTGGTGCTAGTCTTAATGTCCTCCTCAGACATGATGCATGTTTTTCTCTCTCTCTCTCTAGCCTCCTCTTCTCTCATCTCTCTGCATCTTCTCTCTCGATACTGCGTCTTCTCGTCTCTCTCGTCCTCTCTCTCTCTCTCTATCGTCTCTCTCTCCTCTCTCTATAGCTCTCTCTCTCGTCGAGTCTCTCATTGCTTTGGATCAATCTCTGCACTAGCTAACAATCTCTCTCCTCCGCTCTCTCTCTGCTCGCGCTCTCGCGCTCTCGCTCTCTCTCTCATCGCTCTCCGCGAATTCTCTGATCATCTCTCACTCTCTAACAATCTCTCTCTCTTTCTCTCTCTCTCTCTCTCTCTCCTTACTGCCACTGCAATGGGCTGGCATTACAACGCCAAAGGCTCAGCTCATTCATAATTGATCACACGGAGCGGCAGCCTGGCATTTGTAAATGGGAGGCACATGAAATAATTTGTCAATTTTTATTTTATGATTCCCTGTGTGATAAATGTTTATCACATGGTGTTTTTTTTCTTCCAAGGTAACCTTAGTAATTTGGCAAGCATATTCAGCAAAAATATTTGTGTGGCTACCACCTCTGAGGTACCACTGAAATGTGTTACTTAGTATGTTTATGCTTCAAAAAAAGAAGTCCCTGCACGCTGCTAACTTGCAAAGTTTCATCATTGTATTGAAACAACATGTTGTTGGTTGAAAATTAAAACGTCCACTTTGCATCCTTTTTCCTTTGCAAAGTCACCAAAAATTAGCCTGGTCCCAGATCTGTTTGTACTGTATAGCCAACTCCTGTGGTTGCATAAACAGATCTGGGACCAGGCTAACATGAGATCTACCTATACACTAGATCTACCTATATGGACATCATTATGATGTCACCAGACTTTCACCACCATACTCCCATGTGGAAAGTACGATATCACCACCAGACATTGCATATACCCTTTAAGAGAGAGGGCTGTGTCTTAGGACCTGCAATAAAGCTGAGATATCCTCTCTTGATGAAAGGATTTAGCCCAGCAGCCTGCTAGAGGAGGCACAGCTAATGCAGCGGCTCAGGAAGGCGAGGGCTCAGTGGTTATGTCCCAAATGGCAACCTATTCCCTTTATAGTGAACTTCTTTTGACCAGAGCCCTATGGTGCCATTCGGGACGCATACAGTGAGAGCATTGTCTTCACCACACATTGGCATTTTGAGCACAGGCCCTGGAGTGTTATTGCAGTACTACTCTAACACCTCGGAAATCAGCTCAGTTCTGACGCAATGCATGCTGGGAAGTAGGAACGAGTCAGGGATGCCCCCTCCCTCTGTTGCTGTTCTCGGAAAGCTCCGGAAGTCCAATACTGAGAACTGGGCTCAGCTACTGTCTGTCTGTCTGGAGTGTCTGTCTGTCTGGAGTGTCTGTCTGTCTGGAGTGTGTAGGTTCCCTCCTTTGTTATCCTGTTGTCCTCTCGTCGTCCTTCTCTCCCTACCTTCCTGCTCTTTGTGTGTTCCTGTCTCTTTCCACCTACTCACACTGTGTTATATCAAAAGATGGTACATTATTTTATTTTTTCTCTCTCACTTTCTTGCTTTCTATCCCCCTCTTTTGTCCTTTATCTTTCATCCCTCCGTATATTTTCTCAATCCCATGCATTTTCCCCTTCACTCTTCTCAATCGTCCAAATCAATAGAACCCAGAGAGTGTTCTTCAATGGCAGCTTCTCTAACATCAGATATGTACAGTGCAGTGTCCCTCAGGGCAGTTGCCTTAGGCCGTTACTCTTCTCTATTTTTATAAATGATTTGCCCTTACACCAAGCTAGAATGACTATGTATGCGGATGATTTCACACTCTACATGTCAGCACCCAAAGCCTGTGAGCTCACTGAAATTCTAAATAAGGAGTTACAGTCAGTATCAGAATGGGTGATTAATAATAAACTGGTTTTAAATACATCTAAAACTAAAAGCATTGTATTTGGTTCAAACATTCTCTAAAACCTAAACCTCAACTGGAGTTGTGTATAAAGGGTGTGACCATTGAGCAAGTTGAGGAAACTAAACTCCTAGGTATAACATTGGATAGTCAATTATCATGGTGTCATATTGATAAAGTTGTTGTGAAGGAAAGGAAAGGGAAAGGGGGATACCTAGTCAGTTGCACAACTGAATGCATTCAACCGAAATGTGTCCTCCGCATTTAACCCAACCCCTCAGAATAAGAAGATGGGGAGGAGTGTGTCTCATAAAAATATGTTCAGCGTTTTTTACAAAAAAATCAACTGTACTAGTTGTTCAAGATCTGGTCTTGTCCCATCTTGATTACTGTGATTATATGGTCAAGTGCAGCAAAGAAAGACCTAGCAAAGTTGCACCTGGCTCAAAACAGGGCAGCAGGCTTGCCCTTAACTGCACATACAGAACTAACATCAACAACATGCATGTCAGTCTTTCCTGATTGAGGGTTGACGAGAGATTAACTGCATCTCTTCTCGTTTTTATTAGAAGTATTACCGTAATGAAAATTCCAGATTGTCTGCATAATCAAATAACATTCAGCTCAGACACGCATACATACCCCGCAAGACATGCCACCAGGGGTCTCTTCACAGTCCCCAAGTCCTCAGAGCCATGATTGCATGGGATTCCCTTCCTCAAGCAAACAGCAAAATTACCTTAAACAACATCTCATGGAATGGCGGGGACTTTGAGGGGACACACACACAAACACACGCACACATAGACACACTCTAACACACACGTTATGTATTTAGTTGTATTGTTTGTATTGTTATATATATATTTTTTTATTCTATTGTTTGTATATCGTTGTATTTTAAATTTGTGTGACTGTCCTTGTCCATCAGGGTACCAGTGGTTTCTTTTACTTGTCATGTTCTGTGTTTTTTGTGAACCCTATGAAGAATATCTGCTGCCTCTACAAAAGCTAATGGGGATCCAAATAAACAAACAAACAACTCTCTCTCTCCCTCTCTCTTTCTCTCTATTTTACTGCAGCCCCAATTCCTATCTAATAGAGCCACACGGTTTTTGTCATTAATTGCCTGATTACTTTCTGTGAATGGGAGTGTAAAACCTCTCATTCAATGCTGCCTTCCACGGCTGTTTGATGGAGTTTAAGAGCCATATGACAAGCTGTGACTAGCTCCCAGGGAAGAGCTTTCTCCACACTCCAGGGGAGGATGGGATTGGTGTGTAGGGATGGAGGGGTGGGTTATTTTGTTCGGTCAATCTACTATCAGAAGTTTTCGAGGTAAACAATGGTCAAAGTTATCTTTGGCAAAAAACATTGTAACCTTTCAGAAACTGTCATGGGGTGGGTAGGAGAGAAAAATAAATCTGTTGTCATATCAATTATTGTTCCATTGGTGAAGTGGAAGTCATTTCACACCAAAGTAGCTTACGGAGACAGCCCTCAAGTATTTCAGGATCAGAGTTAAGACTCACCCTATTTTGGGTGACTGTTGCAGGGAAAGGTTTGCAATGGGGGCTTAATGATGCAAAGTGTGTGTGTATGTGTGTGTGCATGCTCAAATGTGGGTGCGTGTTCGTGTGTGTGTGCACGCATGTGTTTATGATTGTGTACATGCGTGCATCCATGAATGCATTCGCATGTGTTCGAGATTGTGTACGTGCATGCATGTGTGTGTGTGTGTTCATTTTGTGTTGTGCCGGCGCGTGAGCGGGCATCAAAGTGGAATGTGTACATTCCTCACATCAAGATTACCTCTCACATTATCATTTTAAAGCCAGGTGTTAAACTGTCTAGCGATGGCAGATGATGACTCGTATCCAGGGACAGAAGAAAGAAAATAGAATGACCAAAATGGACACATGATAGCTGTTACTAGAACTTGATTTCCCTAGACCCATATTTAGGGCCGGTTTCCTGGACACAGATGAATAAATCTAGCCCTAGACTAAGAATAATGTTCAATGGAGATTCTCCATTTATTCATACTTTTTAGTCTAGGATTTTAGCTTTATCTTAAAGCCGAAGTTGCTGCATACATTTTTTGACATGTAAATTAATGATATATACCCATTGATTCTTGAAGAATATAACTTATACATGCCTCATGATCTTAGTTAAACTGTCGTACATCATCAGAATCCAAAATATACGCTTGTTTTACTCCAATGTTTATAAATAATGTAAATGTAAACTAGCCTCAAAACATGGTTCAAACTTCAATTTTAATATCATGGATGGTCAGTCCTTTCATCCATGGCTCTTTTAATGAATTTGAGAGTGGTTACATTTCTCCAGGCCCATCCCTCAGCTTTTTACTAAAACAGAGGCGGGGTGTCTACTTTGTTATTGTTTCAATTAAGGATTCAAGCTTTAAACCAGCCAATAGACTTTAGACAACTTTAAAAATGGACGCAAGATAGAGCTCTTTGTGTGATAGTTGGATTTCATCTGGTGTGTGTGTTGTTGTTTTTCCAGTGCGGGGGTTGGCCGGACCGGTGTCTTCATTACGCTCAGCATCGTGCTAGAGAGGATGCGCTACGAGGGCGTGGTGGACATCTTCCAAACGGTCAAGATGCTGCGGACACAGAGGCCGGCCATGGTGCAGACAGAGGTGAGAGGTCACTCTAGACCACATGTGTGAAACTCAAGGCCCTAGAGTGAGCCCATTCAATCCGACCTGCGGGTGGTTTGAGTAATTTTTAATTTGGTTTATTTTTTAAAGATTTTTTTTCTCAATCGACATTTAAATGACTAAAACCAAATCGAAACAGTGTAGAAGTGATAATGGACCTACATTTATAGTCTCCTTACTCTGCCCAGCTTGCTAACAGTTATCGAAACGAAAGCTAGACAGTCAGGGAGTATCGGAAATTCCAAAAGTGATGGAAAGATAACCATTTTTTGCTAATTTTGACGGCGAGGAAGTTGAATACATTTTAAGTGCAACCTACAGACCTCGGTGAAGACCAAATGCAGGCCGCAGGGAAAAATAATTTGACGTCCCTGTTCTAGACCCACAGGCCTTTGTGGATGTATTACATTGAACATTTGATTATTCTCTTTTTTGCTGCTATCACAATGTGATATTCATGTTTAATATTTTGTCTTTTGTCTTTGTTTTGTCTATGCAGGATGAATATCAGTTTTCCTACCAGGCGGGTCTGGAGTACCTAGGAAGCTTTGATCACTATGCAACGTAAAAAGCCATCTCTTCCCCCAAATCCGGTGTCCCCCTCAACAGTCTCCTGGGCCATAGAAACCTGCTTGAAATTTGAAATGACAACAACAACAAAAACAAACAACAACAACAACCAGAAAACAAAATTCAACCAACAGGAAAGCAAACAAATTGTAGATTTTTTTTGTAAAGAAATCCATTTAAAACACCAACAAGAGTGCAATTCCAATTGGACCTAATGGACTTTGATGCCGGTGAGTAAAGTGTAAACGATTCCATCAGCAAAACTAACTGACGCTCTCACTCGGGAGAAAGGAACCAAAAGTGGTGGCTCAAGCTGTGGGGTGGGAATAATCAAAGTGTCAGACTGCTAACCTTACCTCAAGTGTTCAGATGTGGAGGTGGACATTGTAAACATTTTGTGGACATCTATTAAAAAAAGTACTACATACAAACAATACAAAGATAACAGTGAATGAAGGAAAAGTGACTAGATGAACGTGACTGAGGTAAAAAAAAAAAAAAGCTAAGGGATTGAGAGAAACTGAGAAAAGGGTGGACTGGATGTAGCTTTCCTAGTTGTTTATTAACACTTTTGATGGCAAAACTGTGGTTGCCTGTGTACACAGATGATTGTCCCCAAGACGTCGGACACCTTTGATGAGACTAACACACTGAGTTAACGCTAAGGTACTAGCAAGAGAAGTCAACCCCCATTCGGTACCCCCTACCACTCTCAACTCTCTCTCTCTAGCAAGAGAACTTATACTGCCCATAGTTTTGGTACAACCTTTCAAACTCCAAACTCTGAACTCTTCAAGTGTCCATCATACCCACAAAGGGCATCCCTATATCCCTTCAACTCTTTGGGCTAAGAGGAGCCTCTGCAGTAAAGAATAGTCTGGGGGAAAGTGAGGACCGTCTTAAAGGGACTACCATTGGTAGATTTCGTCAAATGCCAGTTCAATCAATTTACCACGTCAGTTTCTCCAGCATTTGACTTGTGGACCGTTTTTTTGGTGCTGTTGAGGACAAACCCCACATGTTTATACAGTAACCACTGATATAGCTCTCTTAGCCTCAGTCACCAAGGAAACTGGGTAAATGACCACTCTTGCAAGACCAGAGAAATGACAACCATGTCCCATGACTTTTTACGATCACTCTTCGTTCAGGACTAGATGTGCCATGAGTTACTGGTGCAGTGTCCACATTTTGAATGGTGAGCTCGGGCGGCCTTTAGGCTACAGAACGAGTGGAATCACCACATGAGGTCGGGGCATGGTGAATGGTGAATGGCGGCAACTGGGCTCTCCGCAAACGTGTACAGTGACCAACAACCCATTGTAATCATTTGTTACTTTGTCTTACAATTACTTGTATTTCTGTGGTTTTCTGTCGATACCAAACATGCTGCTTATTCTCCTGTATGCTGTAAGTGTGACTCTTTGGGATGGGATGACGATGGAGGTGCCTGGTCTGGCCGTGGTAGTTCGCGCCCAGGTGGCTGCGACTGAAAGCGCATCCACATGTTATTGTCCCCCCCCCCCCCCACACCATCTCTCACTAGACATTTTAGTCCCAAGCTTGACTTAGCGAGAAACTAGTCCTCTTGCAGTTATGGTACTAAGAGTGGAAGAAAAGTGGTTAAAAGTAGTGAGGAACTGAGTTGATAACCCAGAGAAAGGTTCCTGTCTTTTCCCTTCCACCTATAGGCCAAAGGCCATTGAAGATGACTGGGGAAGAGGCGGCCATGTTGGATTTGGATGTCGTAATGAGAAAGTTATATCCACTATACAAATGACTTGCACATCACCAAACTTGAAACCTAAACGATAGCAGGGCCGATTCTACGCACTATGTACATGTGTCTGATAAAAACAAGCCCTCAAAGCCCCCAATTTCGTTTTTTCTCAGAGGTCAATGCTTTGGTATACCCAGGAGTATGCTTTTACATTGGATTCTGTGAAGGGTTTTCGATTGGTATGCACACTAACAGAGTGATGAAAGGAACTGTGTGTAGTCTTTCTTATTTCCAAAAAAGCCTTATTGTTATTGTAACATTACGGAAACATTAATGTTGTATTATGATGACTATTGTTATTTTACTTTACATAGCTGACTTTTATTTTAGTTTTTGTTTAGTTTTTTAACAGAGATATTGTATCGCATTTTTTTTAAATTAGCCGTAAGAAATAAATGCTTATTTGTTCATATTATGTTAAAATACATTCTATTTTTTCACTGTAGAAATGTTAAGTATAACATGTGTTTGTGTGGATGTGTACATATATATTTATATATTGCACATTCACACATACATATATATTTAAATACAGAATATAAAGATATACCCAAACTCTTAGTATGAATTTATATTATTATTATTTTTTTCATCAACTTTCAATTGCTCATGTAAAATGATGATGGATTTTTGAATATTGTTTTTTTTGTAACCATAATCATAACCTTGGGAAATGTTGTTTGTTTCTCTGGAAACAATGAGGGGAGGTGTCTAGCCGAGCGTCGCTCCTACAACCCTTTTTAATTCCTACCACTTGGTAGACCAGTGCCGATAAGGAGATGGCATTTTTAATTGTTGTTGAAATTATTATTATCATTAACAGTAGTTATTAGTATTCGTTTGAGTATTATTTTCATAGGTAGTAGATTAAATAGCATACAAAACATTCAATTAGAGGCAAACTACATTATTACACATTTTATGAATTTGCCAGACTAAAGGTACTGTACTTTTTGACCATGTACAGACTATGATCTCCCTCTTTCTCAGAAGTCCCGTTTTTTCCTCCTTTTTATTTTGTCTTTATTTTCAGACACAACATGATCATCCCTTTGTTAGATATCAACTATGATCCAGAATATAATACCTGTAAATAAACAAATATATAGATTATATGTATTTGTATGATTTGACCCTCAACGCTCTCTTACTTCAAATCAAAGACTGAACTGCAAAGATAAGGTTCTGCTCATTGCGAAGTTCCTGGTGTTTGTAAAGCGTGCTTTCTCCCTTTGTAACATTTGTATTCCACTGCTCCATGTTCTTAAGTCCCCTCTTTCTTTGTCATATCTGCCATGTTAGCAATATCTCCTGCTAGCCACCGACAGCTAACTCTGTTATGAGACAGGTCAGTGAGGACCCATAACATTTGCCTCAGCACAGGCTTCATGCAAAGTGAACTCTGCTTCCTTCTCCAGACATTGGAAATGATGGCAACCAAAGGACTATTCCTTTCCTAAACAAAAGCTCCCAAAAAAGGAGAAGTGCTAGTTTTCCCAACTGTCTAAAAAGCCAAGAAGTAGACAGTCCATTGGCAGTCAAATGGTGAAAGAGGAGATAGTTTTGCTATTTAGCAACTGGCCATAGTGCGATGACACAGCCATTAGGGGCAAAGAACTACCACTGCCCCTGAATCATGAAATGATATAATATGTTTTGCTCACATTATAAGACTCCTATAGAACCATATTGTGTTCCTTTTTTTGCCATGTTTTGTTACGGGATGCAGAATGAATCAGGACTAAATGAGAAGGAGCCGTGTGACGCAAAGACCAGGAGAAAGGAGTACGAAACAACAAAGAATCGCTGTGAATTACTCATTTCCAGCATAACCTTTTGAACAGTGGGAATCTAACCGTTTCATATGAACTAAATCTTGAAATGAGGACTTTTTGTGACTGAATTCAAAGACTGGTTAAGGGCCCATGCTAAAAACCAAGACCGTGGACATCTTTGGAAACTTGTGTGACGTGTTACTCTTTGACTTCATGTAAAGATGCCAGACTTTTGACAACAGCAGCCAAATTACTGGAATATTCCGCAGAGGGGGGAAATTAACAAAAGAGAAAAATTACTACAAAAGAATAGAACATATACATACAACAGCCAACAAAAAGATAAAGAACCCAAACTCAAGCAAAATAGTTTTTCTTTGTATGAGGGCCAAGTGCTATCACTTTCAAACTGTTACTTCTAACTGAAATGATTGGTTTAAAACCCACTGTGTATGTAGATATGTTGACTTTGTATTAAAGAAATGTTGTCTGAAAGTATACTCTGTCATTTTATTAATTTTGCACAAATATTGCCCCAAACTTTTTAACCAGGTTGAAGTACAATCAATAAGCATTCTGCGTATGGTAATGGTACACATTTTAATAAATGATTACTAAATACTAATACTTAATTATAGTGCTTGAAAGGAGAGACTCAATCTACAGGTGACACAGCGCATAGTACATAAAGCACACTTTTTTCTACCTGCTACCGTACCAATAATCAGTGTTTCTTTATGCCGTGCTGTGTTTGTAATCATTGTAAATCCTTTTTATGATTGCTTAAGACACCCCATGGTTTGTTTCATCCAACACTTTATGCAAGTCATGGCTGTGGGTCCCCAATGGGCACTTATGACGAGACAAAATCAGATGAATTAAGTTGGATGTGTATCTTTTTGTGAACACATCATGCATCTGTACGAATCTGGATATCAACCTATCTCAGTAAAACATCCAATGTCCCAAGTAGCTGAAATAACCGTTCATTTTTACATCTCTTGAAATGTGTTAAAATGTCTGTAGACCTACTCCATTTCACTGAGAACCACTTTGGGCTTGTACCATGTTTGCACAACATCTGCGAAACCATATACTGTAGATTAACAATGTGAACACCCACTACACTTGAAAGCCCCACTTGTTAAGTGAAAAATTGATCATGAAAACCCATTAGTCTCCATACGGATCCATGAAAACACACTTGTAATTGTCCTGTAAATGGTTTTGTGTTTTCCCATATTTGCTCATGTCCTGATTTATAAACATCTCGAGCCCTGTCAAGAACTTGATAAATGCCACCAAGACGGGTCGATGTGGAGGTGGGGCTTAACCTTCACCTGCTGCTATTTGCTCTGCCACCTGTCCTTCAGCCAGCCTCTCCACACATCTGCTGTGCCCAAAGCCAATATATCAGCACATGTCAGCGAGTTAACAAGTTCTTACAACTTTTATCAAATGATGGCAGACATAAGAGCTATTTATTTTAACATGTTATGATGACAGCATTTACACAAATGTCATAATCTTATAACCACATAACCATATAACCTTATAAAGTATGAAAAATGAAAATGTTCAGGTCAAAACTGACATTTTTAAAGGGTCAGTGCAGTAAAAAACATGATTTTCCTGTGTTTTATATATATTTACACACTTTGTTGGAATAATACTGTAAAATGCCCTTTTAGTATAAGAGCTGTTTGAAAAGACCGCCTGAGATTTCTGCTTGTTTTGCAAGGGTGGAGTTTTGTACTGCCTGGTGACATCACCAGGCAGTATAGGTTATTAGACCAATAACAAATAGAGTTTGCACTCCTCTGCCAATAACAGCTAGTTTTCAGGTTACATGTCCCTCCCATTAGGCTCCTCCAATTAGGACCCTCACTCAGACCACTCCCAGACAGTCCTAGAAAAATTATTTCTTGAGAAATTGCTTTTTGCTAAGAAGCATTTTTTTCTTATTATTTTGACCATTTGAATTGAAACCAATCAAAGTAAGTTACTTGATCATTACAAGGGCCAAAAATGAACAACCGCCACCTGCGGGTAGATTTTGGCATTTGCGGGTAAAATGTCTATTTCACCAGCCATGTTGGCAGGTGGTCAGGGCTCCACAATGCGAGCATTTCGCTCACATTTGTGAATAAAACTGGTCAAGTATGATCACATTTATAGTGAAATAAATGCTGCAGTAGCTATTTTCAAAGTATTTCCGCTGTTTTGTTTCATAGCTGCTAAATTAATCGCAAAAAGTCAAAGAACTACGAATCCTATATAGCCCATTCCACCTCGCACTGCAACACTGCCTGGCTGGGGGCTGTGCGCACGTGAAGAGCAGAGTGAAGGTTCCTTTTTAAAAGCGCTGTGCACAGGCATAAAAGTTGGTCTAATTTACTGAAACTAAAGTCTATTGAAGTGAGACTTTGTCCTTGTGTTTCTTGGCTATTTACACTACCGGTCAAATGTTTTAGAACACCTATTTATTCAAGGGTTTTTATTTATTTTTACTATTTTCTACATTGTAAAATAATAGTGAAGACATCACAAAAGATAGCCCTATTTGGTAAAAGTCCATATTATGGCAAGAACAGCTCAAATAAGCAAAGAGAAACGACAGTCCATCATTACTTTAAGACATGAAGGTCAGTCAATACGGAACATTTCAAGAACTTTGAAAGTTTCTTCAAGTGCAGTTGCTGGCTCTCATGAGGACCACCACAGGAATGGAAGACCCAGAGTTACCTCTGCTGCAGAGGATAAGTTCATTAGAGTTACCAGCCTCAGAAATTGCTGACTGTATGAATCAGGCCTTCATGGTCGAATTGCTGCAAAGCAACCATTACTAAAGGACACCAATAATAAGAAGAGACTTGATTGGGCCAAGAAACACAAGCAATGGACATTAGACCGGTGGAAATTTGTCCTTTGGTCTGGAGTCCAAATTTGAGATTTTTGGTTCCAACCGCCGTGTCTTTCTGAGACGCGGTGTGGGTGAACGGATGATCACCGCATGTGTAGTTCCCACCGTCAAGCATGGAGGAGGAGGAGGTGTTATGGTGTGAGGGTGCTTTGCTGGTGACAATTATTTAGAATTCAAGGCACTCTTAACCAGCATGGCTGCCGCAGCATTCTGCAGCGATACGCCATCCCATCTGGTTTGGGCTTAGTGGGACTATCATTTGTTTTTCAACAGGACAATGACCCAACACACCTCCAGGCTGTGTAAGGGCTATTTTACCAAAAAGGAGAGTGATGGAGTGCTTCATCAGATGACCTGGCCTCCACAATCCCCCGACCTCAACCAAATTGAGAAGGAAAAGCAGCCAACAAGTGCTCAGCATATGTGGGAACTCCTTCAAGACTGTTGGTAAAGCATTCCAGGTGAAGCTGGTTGAGAGAATGCCAATAGTGTGCAAAGCTGTCATCAAGGCAAAGGGTGGCTATTTGAAGAATCTCAAAAATAATATATATTTTGATTTGTTTAACACTTTTTTGGTTACTACATGATTCCATATGTGTTATTTCATTGTTTTGATGTCTTCACTAATATTTTACAATGTAGAAAATAGTACAAATAAAGAAAAACCCTTGAATGAGTAGGTGTGTCCAAACTTTTGACTGGCACTGTATATTTCCTGAGCTAGATATAGGACAGACTTCAAAACCTTATTCCTTATGATTATATATTTCTTACTGGCTTTTTTGCCATTGATTAATGTGTTATTCAATGTGTTTCTATGGGCTATAGTAGTAAAGGCCAAATTCTATATTTAATCAAATAATTGTTTACACTTTTAGAGGTTTAATAGATCTCTATGTGTGCCCGCGGATCTATATGTATAATCTCTCAGTGTTCGTGAGAACCTGGGCTACCGCTCAATGCAAGCCATTTCAATCTACGGTGTCCACAGATTGATTTATAAGCGAAGGTGTTGTTTGGAACTGGTACAAGAACAACGCAGGTCCCCTAAACAGGGAACTTTACATCTAAGAGGTTTTAATATCCAACATTATTGTTACATTATTAGGTTAAGGATTTATCTCTTAGAAGAGCATAATACAGTTATTATGACACACCACTTCAAGTATTATGTTAGGAATTGTCTTCTTCAACTGAAGTCAATGGCAAGCCCAGAGACTGCAGAGCTAGGGAAGTAGGATGGTAATTATGCAGTGGTTCAAACGGAAGCTTGTTAGGAGCCAGCTAAGAAAGCGATCAAAGAATCAATGTGACACTGGACCCAAAAGCCAGAAAAATGTGTAATAAATGGAAAAGCGATCAATTGGATTAGCCACAGTCCCGTGGCCGA